TTTACTTGCTGCTGCTAAGAATCGCCTGTAATTTTAACAAGGCAATTTCGGTATCAAAGCGTGTAGTCGATCTTAAAGAAATAGTCCCCCTTCTCCGAAGTATGTTGCTTTCATTCAGCCCGTCTACTATTCCGGATCTTCATTGCTGATGTTCAGGTGAGAATTTGATAGACCAAGAGGCTCAACATGATCCCTGCGAACTGTTTCTCAACCTGAGTGGCCGAATCAATCAGATAATTGAACACAATCCGATTCGGAAAACCTTCGAATTCGGGGTAACCTGGGATTACGTCTTCCAGCCCTGTGCTCACTCTGCCCCGGTCGCGGTAGAGATACCCAACCTGGAGAAACAAATGTCTGTCCTGCAGATCTATCCACATGGATCGTCACTCAACTTTGTTCAGCTCATCAATCTATCGTTGTGGCGTTCATGCACTCCCCAACACTGCTTTTCCTCGCCTTGTGATGGTAGAGTAGCGCCCACTCGAGCTCGAGCCAAAATGACACTTCACAAGGAAAACCTACCGCCCATGTTGCTCTTCAACATTGTTTGGGACCTCCGAAGTTCTTCTCTGCATCAAGTAATTCAATCATTTGATATTCCAAACATCATCAACCCGGCTCAGATTTCGGCTGTCCCTCCTACCATACTCCCCACTAATCTGCCAATGTACAAACTCAAGGGAATGCTCTGCCGAAAGGGAGATACGGTCCAGGTGACCAGTGGCCACTATGTGGCTCTGATCAAGGATGACGTAGCGTTGTGGGAGATTGATGATGAGACCACTTCTCGCATGTTTCTCAACAGGGACGCATTTACTGGGACACGATTCCCAGTCCTACTGTTCTATGCTCTTGAAGATGGCGTCAACCAGGGGGCCGGTCAACCCCTTGCCAAGAAGAGAAAACTGAACAAGTCGAGTTCCAAGGTGAACGAAGCAGCAAAAGGTTCTGGTGTTGGTTCAACACCTTCCGAAGGGCCGAAAGCTCAAAATCAGGAATTAAAGGGACCAGGTAGTCAGGCTCCGAATTCGGAATTACTTGAAGTTCGTCCTCCGAAACTCAACACTCCAAGTGAGCGCCTTCCGATTTTGACCGAAAACCAACCTATCCCAGCCACAGTCGTCCTCTCCAAGACCTCGACAACCATCAGTGCCCCTACAGACTCCATTGCAGGACAGCCAGACGTTGTCCTTCACAAGCCCGACCCCACCATGTCCACAGATCCCCAAAATATTGAGCTACCTGCCAACAAACCTCCCGAAACCATGCCATCTTTATCAGATGACGTATTACAGAAGGGTGAATCCCAGGTTGTGTCCGAAAGCCCCCCAGAAGCTGTCAAGGTCAGTCAAAACGATTCAAAGTCCTCGGCCTCTTCGTCTGCATCCATGGACATCGACCCACCAAGTGCCTTCCCTATTGAAGTTCGAGACCCCTCTCCCGAACCTCTGGTCCCTAAGTACTGTCTACTTGAGAAATCTCAGTCAGTGATTGCTGAAAGGCTGGCACATGTTCAGTGGCGTTCAGGCGACACCCATCATCCTCTCATTTCTGTCAACACTTATGAAGATGTTGATAGCCTTTCGGATGAACTCGTCGAGGACCTATCCCGCCAGATTGAAGCTGGCTTGAGGGATTCACCCCAAGAGGAGACCCGAAAGGGGTTGAGACTACAGGGTCTAGTGTCTACATTTGATGCAGAGACTTTGGCCAAGTTTCATGGACGGATGAAGTGGTACACAAACTTCGGGATCGATGATATTCTGCTGTCAGTGTCAGCATTCATTCGGAGCTGTGTCAACCTTGGGATTGGAAAGTCTGATTCCATACCAAGCTCATTTGTTTACCGAACACTAGCGGCTGGGGACAACTGGAATCCATACACACCTGGTGGTACTCCTTGGCTCTCACTTGGCAGATGGGCAATGGAGAAGGAAATCACGTTGGAATTTTGATGGGTAAATCACATTTCGGAACATTGGTTATCTTCGGGCCTCAAAAGCTGGTATTAATGTATGATGGTGCTGGTGGAATCTATGACTCACCAGAGCAGAAGAAGGTGTGTTATTCATAGATCCTACTTTGAGGTATGACATGACTGATCAATAGCAATGGTCTCATCTGCTAGAGCGACGGCTGGATTGGGAAGTGAAGAAAGGAATAGCGACCGAAGCCGAGGCAATGGGCTGGTTGGTTGCTGTGAACTCTCAGGTGAGTAATTGCAGGTTTCGGGGCTCATGGCTGACACAGAAGGCTACTAGGGACAGTCTTGAATGGGCTACTCAAGTCGACTCTCATAGCTGTGGACCTCTCTCATGTGCAGCTGCATGTCTTCTTCTCCAGGGAATCAAACCTACCGCTTCCGCTCTTGGTCTGAAATCATCCAATCTAGCTAGGGGCGAGAGCAGGAAGCTCCGAACTAGCGTGCTTCAATTGGTGTTGGCAATGGCTGCAAGGGATCCAGCAAATGAGATTTTCTTCACTCCGAAAGTGAAGAAACAGCTGGAGAAGTGTGTGCCTCCCATGACTTATTACATAGATCGTCTGTAGAGATGTCAAACAATCGCCTCTGTCACTCATCTTTGATATGCAACTTCATTCCGAAACGAATAACACTTGCATCAGAAAGGTGGTTGCACCGCGTGCAAAGCGGTCCGAAAAGTCTCTCACTTCGGATTAGTACTTGCCTTCCTGCAAATATCGATTGATAGCACGGTTCAGCCTCCCGAACTCTGCTCATTTACATGCATATGAATATGATTTGGATGTTACACAGGATGAAAAATCTGCAGGATTGTTCAATGTGTGTGCAAAGACACCGGCAGTTCATAAGATTGAAGAAGGGACCCCCGAAAGATGCCCATTTCGGTTGGTTGACTCATATGAGCCCTGGAACCAACATAGTCCTAGCAGTCAAGTCTTGAAAGATGGGCCAAGGCAAGCAGGCAGAGACATGAAATGCATGATATGTACTAGTTCACACATAATTGAAACATCTTGACATCCAAACATGGAAGGGAAAAACAGAAACAGTTGACCATAACCCGAAATGAAGTCCCGAAACGTAGACCGAAAGCCGAAATCTGTAAGAATACATACAAAAGAGAGGTGACATTGGGTTTACAGCCCCTATTCTTGAGAAGGGTGGAGGTCTTCATGTGAAGGAATGGTGGGAATACTAACACGGATGGTCGAAGGTGTAGTCTCGGAGGTTGGAGCGGTGGGCAGGACATTTAAGCCAGGTGGGAATGCATTGTGACTAAGGGCTCTCCCCGTCTGTTAGAGTACTGACTTGATTGGGATTGTTGGCTTTCATTTTGGAGCCTCATTCGTAGCTGAGAATTTTGCTCTTTGACTTCTTCAAGCTCTGATTCAAGATCGTTGATATTGAAGTTGGCCCTCTCCAACTCATATTCATCCCTTTCGGCGTTGCCCTCCAGTTGACTAACCTGTTCCTGCAAGTCTTTCACTTGGGATTCCAAGCCCATCTGAACGTCCACACAGTCCGCGACAAAGTTTGTGGCCTGGGCCAACTCCTTCTGAACAGCATCGTTTGCCGTCTCGAGCTCCGAAATGCGAGCTTTGAGAGCGTGCACTTCGGCAGCGGCCTTCTCCTCCACCTGCCTCATATTGGCCTCCAGCTCGGTGCTCCGTTTCTCCGCAGCTTTGTAAGCCTGAGCTTGCTTCTCTGTCTCCCCCAAAGCACTAGCAAACCTCTGGTTCATGATCTTCAGCCCTTCTTGTGTCTCAAGAAGTTGACTTCGGATCACCGCAATTTCGGCATTCTTTTCGGCAGTTACTCGAGTGACTGCCACATCCCGTTCCTCATTCTTATCAATCTGTTGTTTATACAACCGATCCAGTGTTTTCACCTCACCCTGAGCAGTATCCCTCTCCGAAACAACAGAATCAAATTGAGCCTTATACTGACTCCACATCTGATCGACACTCTTGACACCCGAAATGGTGTTTTGAAGACTTTCGGAGTAGGCTTCGGAACGTCCGCGATTGATATCCTTATAAAAGTCCATCATGTCCGAAACATAAGATACCATCCGGGAAGCGAACGTTTTTTCAAACTCAGCCTGGGTGACCTGAAATTGATTCATGAGTTTGAGGCATTGTTCTACTTCAGGCAACGTAGTCGGTGGCTCAGGAACGTAAGGAGCAACCATCGCAGGAGCAGGCTCATCAAGGGACGGAACAGAAGGCGTTTTGGTGAGAAATTGACGCTGACCTTGAAGATTTCGTGGACCTTGTGATTCGGTTTGTGGGGTGTGACTGATAGCACTACCCGAAGGAGCGTTGTAAGAGGGGAGAGGACCGAATTGGGAGAGAAGGCCAGGAACCCCGACTTCGGACTGGGCACGGACGACGGCAGTTGCAGGAGGAGTATGAGGCGGTACCGACTGGGAAGCGAAAGGGGGGGGAGCCGCCTGCCTGGGAGACAATTTCGATGTTGCACTGCCGGTTGAGATGTTGGGAGCAGCACGATTCGGCAGTCCTGACGGCTTTCGGCCCTTCTGAGCTAACCACTGCTGCATTGCTGCTATGCCACCGAGCGAGGGAGGATGGGGACCAATTTCACGATTCACTGGGACGAGGAGAGCGGACGGCCCGGCTTCGGCATTTGGCAGTTGAGAAGATTTCGGGGCCGGGGAGGGGCTTGGTAGCACAGTAGGAGTGAGACTTTTGTCTCTTCGGGGTGGAGGGCCTACTGGAGATGAATGAAATTGAGCTCCAACTGTTGCGGCTACTTGTGGAGTGAATGGAGCTGGTGAAGAGACGATACCCTGGTCAGTAGCAGGGAAAGGTACATGATGCACCGCTGGGGGGAGGGTGGCGTCCGTTTCGGGTGGGTTTGGACTCTTTTCGGACGGTGACTGCCGACTGCGTTTCGGTTCGAGCGGAGAGTCTTCAGCCTCTTCCAATGGACGCTTTGTAGGACGAGGTACAGGACTACTTGCAACAATAATGGGCAGGCCCGAAGTTCCAGGATGTGAAGGAGGAGGAGCAGTTTCGGAGTGAGAAACTTCGGGAACATTGCTCAGCGTTTTCGGAGGTCGAGGAGGGAACTTTGGTCTTTCCTGTCGAGCATTGGGTCGCTCCGGAGATGTTGGAGGGCCATCCTGGCCTAAGCTATCCTGGCCTAAGGCTTCTTCAGGTTCCTCGAGCAACGGAGAAGGAAAGCCGGATGTGGAGAGTTCGGTTTCGCCCTGAGAGTCAGCCTTCATTCGGTGGATTCGGGTGAAAAGGCAAAAGACTCACTTCGGACTGGGGACGCGCTGCAGAAGGAGTGGGAGCTGGACTGACCCTTGGATTCGATGTTCTGAAAGCCCATTTCGGACCGTTCTTCGGGGGCTTAACACCACGTTGAGGATCGCTTGGCGCCACCTCTTTCCCCTTGCCCTTCGGCGTGAGAGGTGCCTGCACTGGAACATCTGATAACCCACGTGCTTTTGACGTGGCTGCCCCTTTGCTCTTGCTGGTAGGAAGGGGGGGAGAAGGAGATTTCGTTTTCGTGACCCCTTTTGCAGAGCGAGTCCTGATGGTGCGGGTTCTTGATGGGCCAGCGGGGGAAGGAGAACGTGATCGAAGGTCCGAAGGAGATCCCGATTCGGAACTTGACGTATCCGGGCTATCCTCTTCAACTTGAGAGACCTTCTTTGGTTTCTTTCCGGTTTCGGACGGATCGCGGAACAGCTCTTCAACCGGTTTCTTCTTGAAGGAGCACGGTAGTTGAGTCTTTGTGTTGATGTAACAATGAGCACAGACACGAAATTCGGTTGTCCACCTATTGAGGAAGACAAGATTGCCTTCGGGGACATTGACACATTTGAGAATTTTATTTCTGAGATCAGCGCCAGGGTTCTGAGATACTCCGAATTCGGAGGCCATAAAGACTGATCAAGAACTCACGTATATGTAAAAGCGGGAATAATGAAGGAGCTATGACAAGATAGTGGCTTCTTTGGTTCGGCTGCCGAATAGCACGTGGATCCTCTACCAATGGCCCGAAGGCCATTGTCCTTCATCTCCTTGGGAGTCGCTTCCCGAAGTCCAAGCTTCCCTGCGTTTTGTGGGAGATGCCTGGGGTGGGAGTGCCACCAGGGCTGAAGATAGAATCCAAGCTGAGCCTGGAATGCTTGCAGCGACTTGTCATTCTTCCATATCGGGTGCTGTGGCTGAACAAATTTCTGGAAATGAAGTTGATCCGGGTGCAGTTTCTCACCCTTCGGAGGAGTAACGGTTGATTTATCGGACTTGGGGTTGTATTCGTTGCCCATCTTGTCAGGGGATTTTGAGACCGAGGAGAAAAGAGGGAAAGGAAAGATTCGAATGGTGAGGAAGAGATTGTGAGAGAGAATTGGTGTTAGATAGCAGGAGTAGTGAACAGGCTAATGATAGCAATGAGCTCAACTGATGTGTAAGGTGAACTTTGGCGGCGTAAAGACGTAAAGAGGTGTAAAGATGAAAAGAGATGTAAAGATGAAAAGAGATGGAGAGAGAAGAGAAGGACAGAGAAGAGAAGGAGACGAAGCAAAAAATATCGTCAGCCAGTCCAAAAGTAGATTTTTGATCAACCCTTCATCACCATCAGACGCGTAAACAACATCAACACATAGCAAGAAATTCAGCAGTGAGTGTACCTCCAAAGCATAGATGAACATGATTGGATGACAGAGTACATGTGCAGTGAGAGGTCTGTAGTGAGTACATATAGGGTACAAAGTACAAACAATGTAGAATATAGCATGTACAAGTACCCGAAAACTTCCGAATTCGTCCGAAAGGGGGAGGAGCCGAAAGTCGCAATTTCGGACCGAGCACATTATCGCCTTCTGCGACTTTGATTCTTGGAAAACCGTTCCGAAAGTAGCATGAATAGATTCAGACGCTCCCAGGCATTCTGCTGATACCAAGAAAACCTAGAAAAGGGGAGTTTTATATACTGCATAGATTTGGGTTGGCAGTGACAAGATCCTCGGGTTGAGTGACGGGTTTTGGGAGAAAGTGGCAAAATTTCAACGGGATTAATTAAAGGTGGGCCGGGATTATCCAGTTCGGCTGATGGTAGCGTTGACTGATCGTCAGTTGGACAGACTTATCATGCCCGCCGCCATGCTTCTCTATCTTTTCAGGTAAGCTAATCTGTCACTTTCTTCTTCAACCGCAAGTGGCTTAGCAGTATACTCAGAGGTTATTGAGCGAATACAACACATTCCTATGGCAATCCTTGTCAAGAAAAAGGGGCATCACTGACCTGCCAGTGGCCTGGACAAGGGAAATCTCGGTAATGCCAAAACGATTGGTATGGTGGGTGAAGAAGGGCTGGGGGCAGATCCCTCGGGTTCCAAGTATGCTTTATTAAACGCCTTCTATTTCCTGGGATACGCTCTGTTTCGTGGGTCTTTCTCTCTCTCCCTGTCGAAGCTTCATGTAGGCCGTGATGGCCCATTGGTCATCCCCACCAACTCCACGTCTTCACTTGTACCCGTTGCCAGCCTGATCGGGCGCCATAGAGTACGTCGTTGACTTCAGTTATTCCCACCACTCTCTTTGCGAAGCGCACGAAAATGAACATCGTTCTCGGCTGCAGTGGTATTGTTTGGGGTATCTGCGCGTCTTGCACAGCAGCGGTAAATACCTACGGTCAGGCCGAAGCTACTCGCTTTCTGGTTGGTTTCGGAGGTAAGTGTTGTTTGTTCTTTTGACCTATTTTCCGTCTCACATGCAGCTTAAGGTCTCTCTGTCGCAACCTCCTGCCTTCTCATCCTTCGAAAGCATCGCTGACCAGACAGAAAGCGGTTATGGACCCGTCATTCCAGGTATGTTTCTTCCTACTACCACTGCTGATTGATGGCTAATTCTCAGCGTACTTGGCTATGTGGCATGTCTCTTTCATCGTAAACTTCTAGTGTAGACTGATGCTCAGGTACACCAAGCGAGAGCTTGCTCTGCGCATTACGCTCTTCATGTGCTCCGGTCCCATCTCGTCAGTTCTTCTCCCGACTTGGTTGGAACATATCCCTTCGTGTCTTCCTGTCACTGGTCCTCTTCTCTTGACCTTCAAGCGGACTTCTGCCCAAGAACAGCGCTGACCCCTTCAGAGGTTTCATCACCGGTCTCATTGCTTACGGCGTTACTTTCACTCATTCCCGCGTGGAACCGTGGCGTCTACTGTTCATCATTGAAGGTGTCCCCGCGATCGTTGCCGGCTTATACGCCCTCTGGATCCTGCCTGGGGACTTGTTGATCACCAAGCGACTCACGGAAAAGGAACGCGCCTGTGGTAAGTCTCTTGACTCATGGGAGGAAGGAAGGGATGTGTAGCTAATCTGGTAGCTCTGGTTCGTATCGGTCGTGGAGGTTCACACGAGAGTCATAAGATCAATTGGAAACATGCTCTCAACACATTGATCAGCTGGCAAATCTTGTTACGTGAGTTGTCCTTCACCATATCGTCCCTGCTCCCTTCCGTCACAGACCTGGGTCCGGCTCATCCCGACCCTCAACGTCGTTCTCCCCCATTCCCGTCCCAATGGCCTCCATATCTTCGCTCGATGGTCGGCCTGATTACGTAATCTGTTGATTACGTAATGCGTTGATTTGTGGATTACGTAATGATTCCTGCACCTCCTTTCTGGACGACTTCTGACTTCCAGCCGCCGTGACATATCAGGTAGGTCTTCAATCACTGTTAAAACACCCAGAAATGTCCCCAAGCTTACGTATTTGTCAATCATAGTTGTAGGGGCTGCTATAGGCGCATTTTTACCTACTTTAGTAGCCGATGTGGGCTATGTGAGTGGTTCTACAACCTTCCGAACGAGAGACCATCCCAAGAAACTTCCTAGCATCACAGTCTCGGGCTCCCGAATTGATCCGTCGGGCTGCGTGTCATTGCTGACCCCCAGACCGGTGCCATCGCTCAGGTATACACTCTGCCTCCATATGGAACAGCTGCCATTGTCATGCTCATCGTTGCCTGGGTCTCTGATCGCTATGGGAAGCGAGGCCCGGGCATGTTGTTGGGGATGGGCATGATGTCGATGGGTTTTGCCATGTTGGTCGGTCTGAAGCCCGACCACCACGCGGGAAGGTACGCTGCATTGGTATTTTGTGAAACTGGACAGTTCATCACCATCCCGTTGAATTTGTAAGTCGAATTTCGCTTTCCAATGGTTTTCATATATTCCGTGCGTCGGCGACCGTTCCGCCCTCTGTTGTCTAGCCGTATCTTTGGGACTTTCAGCGGCAAATGTGGGAGACTTCCGGCTAAGAATGGGGACTTACTGGAGATAGAGTCTGAACTGATATGTCCAGGACTTGGGTTGCTGAGAACTCTGGAAATGGAAGTAGGAGAGCATTCGCCTTGCCTTTCGTCATCGCCTGTGCGCAAGCTTTAGCGTGAGGTTTCCCATTTTCTGGCGCTCATGTCTTCCACCCACAATATGTTTCTTGAATGTCCCGTATCTGTGAAGTGGTTGAAGATTTGTGACGGGATTGTATCAACAACGAGGGGATACTCGTTCAAATGAAGTTCAGGTATACGGGAGATCATCCCGTCCATTCATGACTCACTTCAACTTCTTCCTTCTCCTATTTTTCGTTCATCTATCTCCCTTTCTTCCTTTTTATCTCCCCATCCATTCTCTTCTGCTATTTGCGCATCCTTCATGATCACTAGAATGGATCTCGGAAGCCATTGTTCACGCAGAACTGACCATTAGAATCGCGTCAGGTTACATGTTTCCCGCTAAAGACAAACCAGTCTATCATCTTGGTTCATCAGTCTGTCTCTCCCTCACAAGTCTCGGTTTCGCCGTCTCACTCCTCTACATATTTCTACTACGTCGTGCGAACGCCAAGAAGGATGCGGAAGAAGGTCCGGTGGATCCGACCCTTGTGCCGGATACAGCTACGTATGCGGATAAAGCTCGTGGATTCAGGTATGTCTGGTAGATTTTCGGGTTCTTTCAAGGACGAGGTGCCGACGCCACGACAAGGAGGTTGTGGTGTCCGCACTTGTGTGATATGAGAGCAGGGGATATCTTTAACTAAGAAAGTGGTTGGGTTTGTGTGGTCATTTGAGATCAAGGTCACGTAAAATTTGGATGTACATAAGTAGGAATGATGCAACTTTTTTGGTGTATTCCTTTATACATACATAGTATCCAAGTCTTGGGACACTTTTCACGGGGAGAATATCCTTGGAAGTGAGATACATTCATATCATATGAATTACAACTATGCATGCTATAAGTATGGACGGTATAAAGATGTCACATTACGGAAGTTGAGATACTTCCGATTCGTGATCCCCTCACTCTTGACCTCTCACAAAAGACACACGTCGACCAGAATGTCAGGCGGGAAGATTCAAAGCGAGCGACACTGGTTGGTGGACGACAATATCGAACATGAACATCTAAGACAGTCAAGACGCTTCATTTCCTATTCTCGTCGGGGTCCCGTGGGATCGGTCCTTGATCGATGAGGAAGAGTCACAATGTTTCTCGTGGTCGGACGGGTGAATACGTATGACTGCTTCAGACCTTAATTCTATCTGCTCAGAATTCTCCAGGACAGTCACTTCGATCCTACTGTCCGTGTCGTCCAGGTCCGAATTAGGAGCTTTCTTCGTCGAGAGGGGATTCAGAATGATTGCGAAAGATAATAAGCCGAGGTCTAGAATACCCATAGAAAGGTAAAACACCTATTGGTTCAGTTCTCCCTTATCAATAACCTTGATGTACTGTTGATATCTTTTCATACGAGATCGCCCTTTGATCTTTTCCTTCCCGGAGGCCCGCATTCACCTCAGTATGATGTTCGAAATCTCCACACGAAATCGCACTGCCGTGTCTTCCGTATTACTGATGTTTTGGTGGACAGAAAGGCAGGGGAGGATCTATACAGGTGGAGTAGAAGTGATGAAGTATTTGTGGAAAGAGAACGAGATACAAAGATAGATCAAAGAGGTAAGATACAGAGGGTTGGGGATGATCAAACGTTGCTGTTGAAAAGTAAGACAAGAAATGAGAGAGGAGAATGATCATTTTGAGGAAACTCACAAATCCCGCAATATCCAATCTCCTTCTGAACAGTAAACTGAGCATACTCAATACACATCCCGTCAAATCCATGAGACCGAAAAGGATCGTGATTTTGGGTACGTGACGTATACGGAGTATGTGTATGTATTGCGGACTAACTGTCAATTTGACTTCTGTTTGATTGATTGCACTGAAAAGAATGGGTCAATCTACTGGACATATTCAATGACCAAGCTTTCTCCTTTTGGCGGCATATTCAAAATGACTAGAGTCTCGGAGCATTGTGAGGATATCATTTGTGGGGGAACAATTGCAAGTGAAGAAATCGGAATTCCGGGAGGGAGGTACTAGTGATGGAATATCAAATAGAGTTGAATTAAATTATATGTCATAAGGGGGGAGGGGGGGGAGAAATGGTGTCATTGGAGGAATCAACTCACATGAAGCCAATCATGTCGAGAACACTAGTTCCGTATCCATATATCATGGCAACTCCGTTCAAACCTAAGCTGTTTGTTCTCTACCTATCAGTCTCCCTTCACTCCTCTCTAGCTTTGATCGTGACTCGGAATGTTAATGAAGATGGACGAGCCGGCATGTTTTCTGTAGTTCCCAAAGATCCCCAAGGAATAGCGATGTGATGTGAGGAGTATACCAGGATCAAGAAGGGGTTTAGTAAGAGGCACCCACCCGAAGAGCAAAGATAGAACCTGTGTCAAATCCCGCAAAGAGGACGGTTAAGCCCAAGAACCATCCCCCTGCTTTGACTCTACTTTGTCCGAGAGTGTAATGCAGACATTGTATGAAAGAAGTACAAGTGAGAACGTAAAAGATGTGAGGTTGTAGCTATCTCGTCGGCGATCATCCACATGTATGGTCATGAGCGAGCAACATGTTGAACCTAGTCTCCGACAGACTTGATCAGGACCCATACTCAGCTCCGTCCTCGCTGTGATATACTCAATAAATAGTCTTCGTATTGTAAACTGCCAGGTAGGCACGGTGAGATAGAGAGGATGTACATACTTGAAGAACTCACAATGATGGCTATGTTAAGATTCTGAGCGACAGCATAAGGAGCATACAGAAGAGCACCACCTGCCCACAACCTGACCCATCAGTTGAAATACAAGTTGATCATTTGATCCATAACAATTGGGGCTTGATAGGAGGATGTAGCAATGGAGAGACGAGTACGTTGAGAAGCAGAAACGCACAACATCATCCATGGTGATAAAGCCTGAGTCGACTTGGTACGATAAGCAGCGATGATTGGAGGAACGACCTACTTTTATCAGCTGTTCCATCTCCCTGAGTCCAAGAAGTTCTCAGTCACAGCTTGGAGAGATTGGCCGATCAACACACTGTTAGAGAGGGTTTTGGTGAATAAGCTAAAGCCACTCACTTGAAAACACCAAATGACAGCAGCTACGGAAGCGCACAGGATCTCCGCCACAGGATTCGTAGGTAACATCTCAACCTAACGGTAAAGAACTCCAAACATTCCAGCTTCAGCATATTATAAACGTCCATGGGCATCCGGTCATACCGACACTACCAACCTACATGATTATCAGTTGGTGAGATTAATCGTTCGGTCAGTATTTTGTACCATGCGACCCGGTTGCTAGGAACTTGGAGACGCTGGTGTGAGATTAGATCCAGAGGCGTCGGAAGGAACGCCACTTTCTGATGGCTAACTCTGACTTAGATATTTGTTCCATGGTACGCTCATCTTAGACTTACGAATCATTTGATCATGATGCCCTTGGTCAATAGAGAAAAGTGAGTGTCAATCCATTCCGTCCGCAACTCCTGGAACTTCGGTGCTTTGGTCTATGAGTATTTTGGGATGGAGCAAGACTAAGAGGTCGCATAGCGAACATATCGGGATCGGGATTGATGGAAGGATCCCGGTGACCGAACGTACGTGTGGAAAAAGGACCCGGAAATCCGGAGCCGCGGCCATGGATCCGAAGAGAAATTAAACGAAGGGTACGGTATCTGGCATGGAACGTCGCTTGTATGCTTGAAGTCGGGTTGATCATGCGTAGTCGGAAGGGGGTTGGTTGGTCGTCGTGTGGATCGTATCGGTCTTTGAGTCATCCACCGACGCCGCGACGTCGATTTGGACTTCCTTCGAGTCACCGAGATTATCGTCACTGGTTTCACCTGAGTATGGAAGGTCACCCATGGTGTCCAAAGATCGACGTGGGTCATGCGCAGGTCGCTGACTGGCCAAAGGGTTGAGGATTGCGGCAAGAACAAGAATGCCAACGTCGAGAATACATAGCGAGAGATAAAAGACCTACATCAGTCAGCGTTAGAAGCGATGATTGAAACAATTGACTGAAACTCACGAATGCTGGAACATCCAGTCTTGGCCTGAGAAACAGACTGAGGATACAGCATACGCAACCGACTACGTCCATGATGAAGAAGACGATGGAGACTAAGGCGACTCTCTTATTTCGCCAAATGAGTACGAATTGCGGCCTGCTCATCAGCAGTCATCCACATTGAGGATTGAGCAGGTTTCCACTACTCCAGCTTTTTTGTTTCGTTTTTGTTATCATCTTGTGAAGACACACAAGGCAATATGACTCACAATAGTCCTAAAACGTCGGCCAGGCAGGCGCCATACTCGAAGGCGTCGACAATTCCTTCAAATCCCGTGGCTTTGGCTTTCTGCGCATCAGTCTCTGTTGGTAGCAAGGGAGTTGCGATATCATTGAGTGATATGGGATGTAGCGTACCCTACCAGCGAAGATCGATCCAACATCGAAGACGGCGAAGAAGACGATCAAACCTGCAAAGACGCATGAGGCTTGAATGCGGGAGTACGATTTGGCATACCGCAAGCATTGGACCAAGGTGATACAAGTGAGGACGTAAAACAGATGCTGTTGGACCTGATTGTGAGCTTCACTTTGTCGGATTATTTTCAATCATTGGTGGTGAGGCACCGAACGTGGCCTGATCCGTGAAGTCTGGACAATCAGGAGCTAACGAAATTGTACTGACAATGATGGGCAGATGAAGATCCTGGATGATCGAATATGGTGCATAGAGTAACGCTCCCAATGCCCACAGTCTGTTCGGTCAGCTCGGACCGGGATTGAAGTAGATCGTCTGACACGCCGCTGAAGAACTCACAGAATACACCAGGGAGATAACCCATGCGAATCACGAGTCTTCGTTCTATATGCGACGATGATGGGAGGTATTATCTGTGGTGTCAACGGCGATTTCCAGCGTAATGGGGGCTCTGAGACAAAAACACAAAAAGAAAAGGCTCACCGCGGTCGACCAGATAATGGTAGAGGCTATCGCGCAGATATCGGCCGCAGCAGCATTTGGTGATAACATCATAAAGCCGGACGTGCGAAGAGAATATTTGGCAGAGATCGTTCAAAGGGGAGAAGATTTAGTGAGAAGATTTTCGGTTTGTAGTGCTACTTTACAAGCTGATGAGTCAGGAGATGCCTGATGAAATGAGTCCTAGGGAGATGGTGTGAAATAAGAAGTGAATGTTGTAACGAGGATAATCTGGCATATGACCATCGATAGTCGATTCATTGGCAGAGTCGGAAGACAAGCCGATTCGTGAGAACGATTGACATGTTAAGGTGCAGATCTTGTACTCGTGCCACGGGGACGTCAGATCATATGCTGCTCCCTGGCATCCTGGCTTCTGAGACAGCGCAGGATCAGCCAGTATGGTATCAGAGATATGTCGCCCCACTACCCACGTTTGAACTTCGGTCAGACAAGCAGAGAGATTCTCCATACCATGGTCAGACGCTTTTAACGTATTGTAAGCAGGGATCAGGACGGCTTCGGGATCAAACGTGAAATAGGAGTGATGATGCAGAACACAGATGATAGATGCTTACAACAATCCAAAAGTGATTCTACATGGTCTAGACTGCTTCACGATATACACTGTTGCGATTTGAATTTTCTACTACTTCCTCGTGTCCTCGGAGCTCGGTTGCCAGGATCTCACGGGGAATCACTTGTGACATCCTGGTTGGACTTCCAGATATTTGACTCATTGGACCGTTGGCTGGTTCGATAGGTGAACTTTGTGCGGATGACCTTAACACAGCATCTCTTTCTCGTCGACGACGAGTGATGGGGTTAAGGATGAAAGCCAGGAGCACGACGATCCCATCCAGCACGACGACCAAAGCGTAGGACACCTACTGATCAATTCATCTATTTTTCCGTCAAAGAGACTGGCATAGGATTGAGATACGTGTACCGTTGCAGAAGTCACTCACAAAAGCGGCAATGTCCAATTTGGGCCGGAAGAAGAGAGACAAAAAGCTGAAAATTCCGCCTAACATGTCGACAGCCATGAAAATCAAACTGATCCCGACAACCTCTTTTAGTTTGTAGATCTCCCAATATTGAGGACTAATCGTCAGCTGGTTTCAGACTAATGAAGCTGAGACAAAGACAAGGCACTCACAGAAGAGCTACGGCCAACAAGACGCTACTCGTATATCCGTAGAAGAGAATGGGGGCGTCAGTGCCATTCCTCTGTCCGGCCTGCAATCAGCATGCACTCTGTTTGAGCTGGAATATGTCATGGTAGAACGTTGCAGATCGGAAGTCGAAACATAATTTACTTACCCATAGGGCATACACACTGCCCGCCTCAAAACCTGCGAACACCACGCAAAAGGCCAAAAGGCACAAGCTAGCCTGAAGTCGAGTGAATTTGTGCTGGTAGTAAAGGCACTGTGACCAGCTGACAGCACAGAGGACGCCAAAAACTTGAGGCTGGATTTGTAGCGGTATCGATAGACGTTGCACGACAATGTACGTTGAGAGGAAGAGAGAGGCGATGGCCCATATGCTGAGGTGGGTCAATAACCACATAAATTATCTCCCCTTTGAATTGAGGCAGTCACGGATCGAAATAAGCGAAGTCATCAATCCAGAAGAGTGGAAGTGGTGCATCATCGTGGATGAGGTAAGAGCACAGATGAACAAGAGTCTTGCTCACAGCATGAGAAGAGCCGATAGTCCCAAGGTTGACTTTGTCCGGTAGGACTTTACGATCTGAGGTAGGATCTGAACCATCCACATGACCGCCCCTATAGTCGCCAGAGCGTTTTCTACCGCCTTATTCTCCTTCATCTCGCCGGTCTCTTTCGTATACACAACGCCGGTCTCATCAGTGAGTCAAGTGGTAAAGTCGAAAAGTTATGAATTGTCATGCTCCCAGTCAATAGGGCAGAGTTGGCCGCGGAGATATGTCCGATCTCCGTTCGCCGTACCACCAAGAAAAGTTGAGTCCACTGCGTTTGTCTATCCTCTCACTACATAGGCAAGACATGCCAGCCTCACAGCTCTCTCAACTCAAATCTGCACTATCTACAGCTGGACTCAATTCCAACTCTCGCTCGAAGAAGGACAAGAAAGCTGGTAAAAAGTCTGGTGTGAGAGATGCCGATCGTTCAAAAACTTTTGAGCGGCTCGAAGAGATTCGCAGGGGTCTAAACAAATTCGATGTGAGAGAGACAAAACTCAAGCATGATGTTGGGGGAAGGAACCTAAAGGGGGTTGTAGGAAGGCCTAGTGCTAGTAAACAAGCCGGTCTTGAGCAGGTTGGTCTTCATGAGTCTTACTCCAGGAAATCCCCGCTGACATTTGAAAACAGAGAAAAAAGACTTTATTGCCTGAACATCATCTTCGAGGTCATACTGGATCATTTCGAGATCGTCGATTCGGAGAAGCGGATCCTACGATGAGTCTTGAGGATAGGATGTTGGAGAGATACACAAGGGAAAGACAAAGAGGGCAAGGTAAAAAGGGCTTGTTTAACCTCGAAGATGACGATGCCTTCGGATTGGATGATGATGAGGGTCTTGGAGGACTTACTCATGGTGGTAGGAGTGTGTTGGATCTACCTACTGATGATTTTGTGAAACAAGGTCTGGCTGAAGAGGACGAAGAAGGGAAAGGAACGGTGGACGCGAAGACTGTGCACAGAGTGCATTTTGGGGGGTTCGAAAGGGAGGGTGAAGAGGATGGGGAGGAGAGGAAGAAAAGCAAAGCGGAAGTCATGTCAGAACTCATAGCTAAGAGTAAGGGCTACAAGGTAAGCTGATGACTTCCTCAGGGGAACTGTGAGCTAATCGTGCAGCATGAGCGGCAGCAGCAGAAAGAACTCGACATTGATCTGAGGGAGGAATTAGACGAAGATATCGACGAGCTCCGCGCTTTGTTACAAGACAGTGCGCCGGCTTCAGGACCTTCTACGTTGTCTCGGAGGATGCAGCTTCTGAAGGAGCAAGATGAGCAGGATGCCGATGGTAATTACGATCAGGTAGTGAAAACCCTTGCCTTCGACGCGAGAGCCAAGCCGAAGAATAGGACCAAGACGGAGGAAGAGCTGGCGGTAGAGGAGAAAGAGAGGTTGGAAGAAGCAGAAGCTAAGCGATTGAAAAGGATGAGGGGTGAGCCAGATAGTGACGAGGAGGAAGAAGGTGATAAGAGACGCAAGACGGAGAAAAGAGGCGAGGCGGATGATCTGGATGATGACTTTGGAGAAGAGCTCTTGGGGCCGGGGTTGACAAGGGAGGATATCGAGAATATGGGGGCTCGGACAAAGATACCTGCACCCAGCTCAAGTCACGAAGGAGACGAGAACTTGGACGAGGAAAACGACGAGGATGAGACGGATGATGACGAAGAAGATGAGGAGGAGGACGAAAATCAGGACACAGAAGAATTCGGTGACGAAGATGAAGATGATGACGAGGATGAGGATGAGGAAGATGATCAAGATATGGACGAACCACCAGATCTCGTACCCGTCGATGAAACCGACCTAGTCAAATCGAAAAAGATTGTTCGGGTCAAGACCACTCCCGCTGTGAAAGAAATACCATTCACATTCCCTTGTCCAGCCACGGTAGACGAGCTCGAAGATGTCCTCTCGGAGCTGGACGACTCTGCACTCCCCATTGTAATACAACGTATTCGGGCATTACATCATCCTTCGCTAGCTCAAGGTAATAAAGAGAAACTTCAAGTGAGTTTTACTCTACTCCTGATCCTCCAACCTCCCTCTTCCTACATGCCATCATGCCTGATCCTTGATCCAAGCCTAATACATTCCTGTTTGTGTATCGTGACTGACCAAAAAGGATTTCCTAGGCGTACTGATCGACTACACTCTTCTCCTCGCCTCACATTCCCCACCTTCTTTCTCTCTCATCACTTCTCTTCTACCACATATCACCTCCCTTGTGAAGCTCAACCCTCTCTCAGCTGCTCCTCACTTCCTTTCCAAACTGTCCCTCATGCAGAAAAATCTTTCAAGAGGATTATCAAAAGGTGCTAGTTCTCTCCACTCTCGAACATATCCCGGAACACCCGAATTGGTCTTACTTCGACTGATCGGTGCAATTTGGTCCACAAGTGATTTTTCTCATCCTGTCTCAGCACCAGCGATGATACTTATGGGACAATATCTTGGTCAAAGTCGTATACGTCAATTATCCGATGTAGCTAGTGGCTTATTCCTTTGCAGTTTGTTGGCAGAATATGAGAAAGTTTCAAAGAGACTCGTTCCGGAAAGTTTGAATTTCATCAGTGCTACTTTATCAGCTCTGCTTCCTCGGAAATCAAATACGGATACGAAGATTTCTTTGACAGGACCTGATCTATTGGCGGAAGGGACAACGTTGACGTTGGTCGTATCTGAGAAAGAACCGAATGAACCTGTGGACTTGAACCGTGCTTTGGGTTGGGGTGATGAGATGGGGAAAGAAGAGATCGAACAAGGGAAAGTGGACTTACTGGTCATGGCGCTCAAGCTCATCAAGATTTATGCGGAATTGTATGCGTCCTCAGAGGCATTTGTGGAATTGTTTACACCACTATTACAGATATTACAAAGTTCTAAAATCTCAAAATTATCTTCTTCCATCAAAGTAAGTCCACTTTAAATTCTTCTTTCATCGTCTCTTCTTCACTTCTTCATCATTCCTGGACTTATTCTCATTTCCCTTTCCACACCTTCGGCTGATAGTAACATGGATATTTCAGACAAGTTGAGGCAATGTTGCTTGTTTTCTCCCATCTCACCCACATGGGCATGTCCAAGACATGAGATAACATAGGTTCAAAACCATATCGAAAACATAAAATTTAGATATAATGTGAACTGACGTCCAGACTTTACATCAAACCATTATCCTTACCCTCACTCGTCAACTTCACCTAGCCAATACATCCCGTCAACCACTAGCACTCCAATCCCACAAACCAATCCCGATCCCATCCTACGCACCTAAATTCGAAGCTGATTTCACCCCTGGGAAACACTACGACCCTGACGTCGAGCGGAACGCAGGAGCAAAACTTCGAGCATTGTATAAGAAAGAACGTAAAGGTGCCATACGTGAATTACGAAAAGATAATCGGTTTTTGGCAGGAGAGAAAAGTAGGGAACAATCGGAGAAAGATGTTGCGTATGCTAGTAAGATGCGTAAAGTTGAAGGGAGTTTACAAGTTGAAAGAGCGGAGGAAAAACAGATGCAAAGGTGGGTTGTTCATTTGTTTTCTCTTCATGTCATTAATCTCCTACTTCATCTTTCATGCCCACATGCCATCGAGTATACCATCAGTATCGATTATTCCAGTACCTGCTCAAGTTTTCCCGAGTGTTCTACGAATAATGGGTGAATTTGTATGAGATGGTCAAGAGCTAGACGAGTTTGGATGTTGGTATGTCCTGCTGACAAACAGGGAGAAGATGCGCGAAAAACGAAGAGCAGGGAGGAAATAAAGGCAGTTTCTATGTATATACGAATTGCATAAATTCTAAGATCGGATTATACTTTGAATTCTTTCTGATAATCTGAAATGTCCTTGAGAGTCTGTAATGATTTCTATAACATCCGCAACCTCTTTTCATCCTATTATCTCTGCCTCAGGAGATGCTTTTGTCCTTTCCTGCTTATTCCCGACTTTCCTTGACGTGGTAATTCATATTCACCTTGCCAAGCGTAGTGATTCACTCACTCCCGCTCATATAAACTCCCCGATCCGAAAACACCTCTTGCACCACCAGTCTTAGCTCTTCCACGATCCATCACCCCCGTCCCTTTACCTGTATCCCTTCCATTCCCACCACCTCTTACCCCTTCCTCTCTTCCACTCCCAGCGCTCCCCACATTGCCAATACTATTTCCAATACCTGAAATCGCCCCGTCCACTCCCAATCTCTTCCCACATTCACATCCACAAGTCTCACATTTCTTTCCACCTTTCTCCACCTCATCCTTTTTCTCCAGATCCAACTTCAATTCCCTTACCTGAGCTTGTAATTCTGATATTTGAACCAACCACATTTTCCTCGCATTCAACAACTCAGCCCTTATAGTTCTAGCTAACAACTCGGCTTCTGACTTTTCGACCGTTGATCGGTCCCCACTCTTGTCGGTATATGATGATAAGGCAGTAGGAGCAGGTGAAACACTTCTAGCTCTTCTATCTTCCCCTATATCCATACCCAAACCTATAGCGGCGTCCATGGGATTAGGCGGAATTGTACCCCTGGTAGAGGCTGTAGATGGTGATAATCCCGGTAAAGGTGATGAAGAAGTGTAAGATCCAGCAGGCGATTTTGGTCCGAAATCTATACCTAACCCCAGTCCCAATCCTGGACCTGAACCTGAACCTAATCGGTCGATTGTCGATTCAGTTTGAAGAACGGTCGATTGTGTCGATGTGGATGATAGCTCGGAGTCAGAGGAAAGGAGGTCAGGAGGTAAACCACTGGAGAATAACATCGATACTGGTCGTAGTTCCAACCTGGGCAATAAGTTTGTAGTTCTGATTTCCCATTTTGATTCCAAAGTACTTTCTGATCCTTCCTCTGATTCTGTTGATATTCTAGATCTTGGTGATCTGAGTGATTGTTCGTTGTCGGTATGTCTGGTGGAAGAAGTAGATCTACGAAGTTGAGATTGTATTTGTAATTGAGAGTTAGATTGAGATTGAGATTGAGATTGAGAGTTGGAAGGGACACTCTGAACGGATTGAGCGTGGTTTGGAGATCGATCAATAATAATGACACCTTGAGTTTCACGTTGTTTCCTATTCGATCTCAACCTTTTTTCTTCTTTCGATACATCTGAAGAAAAGGATTTTCTAGAAATGTCCGCACTTGATTTCCCCAAAGCTACTAACAAACTCAAAGAAACGTTCGACTTGTTTCCATTTGCATTGACCCCCACAACTGATGTAGGAGGTAATGTTTCTCCTCCTAAAAGATAAGCAGAAGGGTCATACGCAGGCATCTTAGGAGGTGCCGCAACTGCCGCTGCAGACTTTAGAAATTTCATTATACTTTTCTTTCCCTTTAAGAATTTTTCAGGCATAGAACTGGAAGTTGTTGAGTTGGTACTTGATGGAAGATGAAGTTGAGAAACACTGGCGTTATATTCGCTCATTACACATAAAGCTGTGTTGGATCGAATTTCGTCACCCCTTAAACGAACTGTAGCTAGTGAAGGACGTTCACGTTCACGATGATTTCGACGAGAAGTATTAGAATCGTTGTTACCTTCTGAAGAGCGGGTAAGAGGGTTTGGATCGATTGTGAATGAAGTTCGAGAGTTGTTCATGGAATAGTAACTATCTCCTCTGGAAAGATATACACCTTGTTGTGGACGGATGAGTTGTGAGGATGTGGAGGAGGTTTCGATCTTGACAGGACTACTAGTTGAATGTACCGAAGGGATGGATGGAGAACGAGATTGAATGGAAGAAGGTTCGTAATCACGTTTTTGTTGTTTCCTAGCGTCATCAAGAGAAATAAGTCGAATAGCTCCTGTGGTCCCTACTCCAACTCCTACCAGATTATCTGTTTGTAAATCCAGTTGATTCGATACGGAGAGAGAAACCGTATCGGAAATTCGAGGTGTTTGTCCTTCTCTCGGAGTACGAGGTTTGGTAGTTCCGAAAAGAGATCCATCCAGAAATCCCGTATCTCCATTAGACGTGTCATTCACTCCTTGTCCATCGCAATATTCAGGATACACCCCACTGTAGGCTGATTTATATCTCGGGGTCTCTTCTTTAGATTGTGTGTCGATAGAGGATCGTTTGCCAGTCGGCGTAGTTTCGATACTGAGACCTAACCCTATTCCTGATCCTAGACCAAGACCAAGCATGGGACCATAAGTGGGCATGATCGGCAATACAGAAGGATGTTTAGGAGTCGTTAATCGTTGTTGGTCCGAAACACTCGTACTGACCGTCTGACCAGAACTGCCAGAGTCGCCAGAACCCGTGGATGAAGAAGCTGGTAAGAAACTATTGCCAAGTGCGCTACTTGATGATCCGGTGATGGTGGATGCCAGAGAATCCACAGAACCTACACTAGCATCACTGTGAGTCGTGAGGCTACCAGTATTGGGAGGATGTAAAGACGTCTTACTTCCTCCCATGGAACCGCCTCCGAGAAGTGAAGAGAGGTTACGACGGGCGTTCGAAATGACAGAATGGTTATTATTCGGAATGGAGGTGTTTTGGGATGGTGTGGAAGAAGCCACTTTTGTTGGTGGTGCAGGGGAAGTCGATCCGAACCTGTTAAGAATACGAGCAGTGGTGCTTGGTCTTTTCGATTTGAGCTTCCGCTTGACGGACAATTGTGGTTGAACAGTGACAGTGGGCAATGCCCCTAATTCTTCCCATTCCATATCACCATACTTTGTCACTCGAGGACCGGCAAGGAGAGAACAGCGCCTATAATTTTTAACTATATCATCTTCTTCCTGGTCAGCATAGACGTCGTCCTCTTCTTCTTCCGCAGAGGGTATCGCTGTAGGGGTGGAAGCAGTGAGGTCGTTGATGACTACAGGGGGTTGAGATTCTTTCGCTCGTGGAGAATCGTATCGAGAATCAGGTCTGTGAGCGAGGAAGGAGAGAGGAGATTCAGTGCGGCGAGTGTAGCGAGGAGTGTCTGCACCTTCAGAACCGTGACCATATTCGGATTCTGTGAATACGCGAAGAAGCCTTGAACCAGGGGTATCGTTAGGTCGACAAGGTGATCGAGCGGAATACAGGGAAGGGGAGGATATTGAGGGTGAGATGGACATGACGCGGGTTGGACGCGTCCGTCGAGTATATGGAGGATGAGAGATCAATTGAGGGGTATTTCAGTGGGCAATGTGCTGAGGCTGAGGTGTCAGAAGAGACTAGAACATTGATGGACACACAACTCACGGTTTCTTAGGCGCTGAAATCGAACGCGGGAGTGGCTAAAGGCTTTTGATATGATCTAGAAAACCTGCTATTTAGAACGATTTAGCATAGAGCGACAAGAGCAATGTCAACATCCTAAATCAGATGTTTATGAAATGACCGGAAATCTCTGTTTACACGTGAGTTACGTTAAATGGCATAGATGGCAACCACTTTAAACCAGTTTTGCAGAGATGATTCAGAATCTGCCCACCGGCCAGGGTTGCGCGTTGCGATCGTTTCCTCACCTGCCGGCTTTCTCGTACATTGAGGCGCAAAGCCTGTCAAAAGGTGCATTCTGTCCGCTTCCGGTATCTCTCTCTCTGGGGTATTTGAAATTGACTCATTGCGATCGTCCTGGTCCAAAACAGACATTCCGCTCAATTGCCGGGCTATGTGATCAACACGAGACGTCGATCGGTTTTCCGGAAACATACCTTTCTCACGATCCAAAGTGCCATGGGAGTAAACAACTTCTTCTGTCCTCCAGCTACCAAATATTTCGCCGCTATCTTCAAACTCTCCCCGACATCATACGTCCCTTTGGGCACGAGCCCCACTTTCTCTAAGCCCCAAACAGCATTCTGGGTGAAGAATTTTCCGACTGTCGTCATCCTCATCACGGTGAAGACTGTTTCGTCAGCGCCATTGTTACACTGCGCTCGCGGAGGATTTGATACTCACTGTCCCAGAGGGTCTGTGATTTAAGGATGTCACCTTCCAGGGGATAGTACCACGGTACGGGGTCCGGACCTTCCGGTCAGCTTTTCTCACTTGGACGGTCTACAAGAAAACGAACGGTCGGCTAGGTCTTCCTCGTGAAGTATCTCGAAGCCTACTGCCTTCAAAGCTTTTCGGGCCGCGGCCAGGGTACGCATCTCTGCGATACCATCACCAATCTGATAGATGAGTATAACTCAGACCATAGCTTATAATCACTGACCTCTATGCCATGGGCGATTTCTTTGTGCTCTGGAATAGATGGGTCCCACGCATCAGTCATACACCATTCGTAAACACCAAACTACTCGTTAGTAGAGAAAGAACGCCTTAAACGGTCGAGAGCTCACCAGACCACCAGGCTTCAAACACTTGTAAATCTCTCCGTAAATGCCTTCAAAAGTCGGTGCATGACAAGTAGCTTCGATGGCATAGACTGTTGATAAGCGGCCTGATCTCATGTTTTCACTCAAGTCGACTAACTCGCGTCAAAGCTCGCCTCCCCAAATTGCTCGCTCAATTTCATGAAATCACCCTTGACAAACGAGACCCGGTCTGACAATGCTGCTCGGGCTGTTTTTCTCCTTGCGCGGTCCACCTGATATTGGTTGTTGTTGACACCGACGATTGTTGCATCCGAGAATCGAGCCATCTCTCTTGCTGGTCCACCGACGCCGCACCCAACGTCAAGAACTTTCATTCCTGGACGTAGGTTGAGGAGGGAAGCGAGGTAATGTTCATGACGGGCGAGCTGTGGTAAGATGATGTCTCGGCCCAAGATTTAATGACTCACAGCTTGGATAAATGCCTCGCCCTTATAAAAACGACAGAAGTGAAACGATTCACCTGATCGTCAGTACTCCGCAACGGCGTTACAGCAAGGGACCACCCACCCCAACCAAACTCGTACAACTCTGTAGCGCCGTCGTAGTAACCTGCGACACATGAGCTACGTCCAAAGCGGTTCATTGCGCACTGACCATTGACCAGGTCGGTATACTTTTCCAACCTCCCAGAACGATGAGCCTCGTTGTCATCTTTGGAACTTTTGTGCCAAAACTTTGTATAGTTGCTGACGCGAGCTGCGGATCGAGTTTCGACACCCATCTGCAGGTCAGCGGACTATAAAACACTACCGCCGGACTTTCCGGAAAGAGGAAAAAAGTCGAGAGGGACGGGGAGGATATGATGACGGTGAGACTGACGATGATATACGCGGTCAAGGATCAGATTACGGTGAGAGATGAAAGAGAGGCGCAGGACGAGATCTACTTTGTAGAGAGGGGATGGTGACGGAGCAGGTTGGGAATGGTACGATGCTGAAAATTAGGATGGGTGGGACGACGTTTGGGTGGGGACGGCCACGTGGCTCCTAAAACAGATGTGGCAACCCTCTCGTTCGTGGCACAACGGTCATCCACGGCGACCGATCGCACGGAACTTACCCCATCGAACCCTCGCACCGCCTCGTCGTACCCTCCCTTCATCGTCTCTTTTCAACATGGGTATGAAAAGAGAGCCTCAGCTGAGCATAAATATTGAGTTCTTATAAGCACCCAAGGTTCACATAGAAATGATCATTTTGCCACCATCGTGTTCTACATGTCATGAATCAGTAATCATGACTCAGAAGAAGTATGGACTCAAAGTAATAGTGACTCATAATTAATCAGGATTGATAAGGACAGTACAGATGGTAATTACAGATCGACTCAGAAGCGTGAAGTTAGCCGAGGTTCGTCGACCGTCGGTCTATAAGGAAGAAGTTGCTCGACGGCCGTGACAGGTAGCTACAGGTGGTCAAAGGTGACAAACGGTACTCGCAGACGGTAACTAGCTTTAGTCTATATAAACTTGTACTTTTCAGTAGTTTCTTCAGTTATGAATCTCCTCTTTATTTGTCAAACACAGTTGGTCCAAGCCCAACACTTCTAGTCCTTGCTATCCCTGTTCTCCTCGACGTCATCACTTCATCCTCCGTCATCTCTGTTACTATCACGAACTACGTCGTGACACCTCGATTACTCCACCAACAATGACCCTCCTTTGGCCATCAAAACCCCATCACGCCTATGCCTCTTTACTCTACACGTAACTCAGGACTTCTGAGACCAAGTACGGCGAAGTTAGACGGAGTTAGGCTAAGTAGGGACAATGGGAGCAGAAGTACGGCGAAGTTAGACGGAGTTAGGCTAAGTAGGGACAATGGGAGCAGAAGTACGGCGAAGTTAGACGGAGTTAGGCTAAGTAGGGACAATGGGAGCAGAAGTACGGCGAAGTTAGACGGAGTTAGGCTAAGTAGGGACAATGGGAGCAGAAGTACGGCGAAGTTAGACGGGGTTAGGCTAAGTAGGGACAATGGGAGCAGAAGTACGGCGAAGTTAGACGGAGTTAGGCTAAGTAGGGACAATGGGAGCAGACGTACGGCGAAGTTAGACGGGGTTAGGCTAAGTAGGGACAATGGGAGCAGAAGTGCGGCGATGTTAGGCGGAGTTAGTCGAAGGAGGAAGAGGATGGCCGAGGGCTCGGGGAAGTTGGACGAAGTACGTTGAAGTACGTCAAAGCGCGAGAGGGTTGGATGAACGTCTAGGAGGAGTAGATTATATTAGCTGAGAAGATCGCTGAAGTTCTTCAGCGATCCTTGATTGTTGTCAGTAGTGAAAGATAGATAGAGATAGCTATTTACAAATCGAGATACATCGCCATCAATAGAATAAAACCCCGGTTAGAGTAACTACGCCGAAGTACGCCGTAGTTACCCCCCCCCCCCTTTCGACGTCTGCGCCCTCCCAGTTGGGTGAGACATCGATTTAGAAGGACCAAGTTAGCCGAGGTTCGTCGACCGTCGGTCTGTTAGAAAATAGTTGTTCGACGGCCGTGACAGTTACTCTCTCGACGAGCCAGAGACTTCATTGGGTCATAGTCCCATTCTCAGGTTACAGCCCTGTATTCTGTTGTCCTTCGTGACAAGCCCACCCCCCGTGACACTACACTCATCATCTTCCAAATGTGATGACTAGTCAAGCTTGTAATGACTTTCAGACCACACAGGAGGCTATATGGTGGTCGCCCGAAGCGGCCATAGCAAAGGCCCTCAGTAAGTCTCCTAAGGGGTTGGTTACAGTCACGCTGGATGACGTATGGGCTAGAGATATGTCCTTGACGGCTGTCACAAACCTTGTCGTGACATCCCTGACAACTACCATCACCGACCCTCCTTTCACCACCATCCCGAACCACTGAGACCAACTACGACGAAGTTACGCGAACCTAGGGATTATTGAGAACTACGGCGAAGTTAGGGGAAGGAAACCGAGGGAGAGCGGAGTAAGGGAAGTTAGGCAAAGTTAGCCGAAGTAGGCGGAGTAGGATATCGGGGATATGGCGAGGTACGGCGAAGTTGAACGAAGAGGACTGAGCGCGAGGCTGTGCAGGAGTTGAGGGACGTTCTATGAGAAGAGGGGGGAAGTATAGATAGTTTACAGATTGCTGAACTTCTTCAGCGATCCTTGATTGTTGTCAGTAGCGAGCGATATATTCAGTAGCTACAACCATCGAGTTAGGGAGAGCTACCACCGAGCAGTTCGACGCACTACGGTGAAGTTAGCCGCAGTTCATCGACGATCACTTTATCATTTACCACTCGACGTTTTATTACGACGAAGTTAGCCGTAGTTCCCCGACGAGTACCCTGTCCTAGTGAGACATCGACACCCCACTACGACAGAGTTAGCCGAGGTTTGTCGACCGTCGGTCAGCAGAGGAGAAGAAACGGTGATTGTGACAACAGCTGACACCATATCAAGCGACATTCCTCCTTCTTTCCTGGAGACAAAGGTGGCAAAAACAGCCCCCACAGGACAGACATCATCAGTCCTGCTCTCATATGAGGAAATCCAACAGCAAGAGACCCACTTGAGCAAAGTGCAGGAGATCTGTCTGAGGAGATAAGACAAGAGGTAGTAAAGTCCTTATCTACACCCATAGAGAGACCATCAAGCGCAGATTGGCAACCTCGTGTAGAACAAGATTCAAATTCAACACACCCAATGGACCAGAACTCAGAAGATTCTATCACCCTCACCACCAGAGACAAGGGAGAGGAGGCATCGGTGAGACCTCAATCAAGGTTGCTGTCACAGGGTGGTTTCTTTGTTAACTTCCTAGGACTGACGGCCAATAACTTCGTGGGCTTCGACCTTTAACAACCTCATCGTTTGGAATATGAAACAGGTGACAATAACTTCTGGGTGTAATAAATTCGTACTTTACTAACTTCTATCACTAAGACAACAACCAGAGATCGTCAAAGATCTCTGGGAACTTCGGCCCTTAAGTACTTCGTCCTTCCCTAACTTCTTCAACGCAGAACTTCGTTCAACGCGAAGTCCCGAGCTTCGTGCCTCACAAACTTCGCCCCCGACGAAGTTCGTGCCTCCCTAACTTCGTACCTCCCTAATCTCGTATCTCTCTAACCTCGTATCTCTCTAACCTTGTATCTCCCTAACTTCCTACGTGACTAACTTCGTCCTCGACGAAGCTAGCCTCCTAATACCCTCCTGGGTGGTGAAGTTCATGAGAACTGGATCGTTGATGGCGAACTGATGTCCCAAGGAACCTCGTTGAAGGGAAAAAGATGATGTCACGTGGCACCGCGTGACAGTCGCCCCCTCCTTGAGCGTAAACGTCCTCGTGAGCGAAAATCAACGCCAAAAAGAACAAAACAACTCAGCATGAAGTTCGGGTCTCACTCTTCTCCTGAAGGCCAACTTCCTGATAATGTAATTCCCGTAATGAAATTCCAGGAACATCTGAAACCTCCTTTGGCTACGCCGCTGTCCTCACAACAAGATCGCCGTGTACCAAACATCGTAACTTGCCTCCTCGAAATTGAAAAAACGAGGGGGAAATTTGTATGTAACAAGAAGATATGACAATGACAGAAGAATTTCATGTATGGGGAATGAGAAGCAATAATCTGTCCGTGAGCGTAGTATCCACGAATGTAAGTACAAAACTCCTTAGCCTGAAAATTTCTCTCGTATCCAGGGATCTTCGTGGTATCCCGGTCTCCATGAAACACGATGTTGACAACGGGAACACCCTTATCTGTTGTCAACAGCAACGGATTTCCCCTTATACTCTGTAAGTTGACGAACTTCCCCCCTAACTTCTTCAATTTTAAAACTCTCTTCTTACATCTAATCCCACTCTTCCACTAAATTTATCTTTTCACACCCACCATGGCCCCGTCTACCCCTCGAAAACTCGTCAAATCTCCTCCTTCCAACGTTGCCCGAAGGACTTGAAGCAGTGAGTTCGAATTGCCCGAGAATTTTGTCGAGAACTTTTGTGTCATGGCTGATGTTAGTGTTCCGGGTTCAGTCTCCCCCTCCTGCTCCCCCTTCGTCCTTCGTCCGCCGCCTTGCCAGCTCGGCTGGCCTTCGCCTCTCTTCTCTCTCGGCTGCTCTCCCTTCGCTGTCGGTGTCTTCCTCGTCATCCGCGCCTCCCGCTCCCGTCGCCGGTCCGTCCTCTACCCCGGCAAAGAGAAAAACTCCCTCAAAAGAGGCGAGTTTAACAAGAAAATCTTCCATCCTTCGGTCTCCTAGGAAGAGACATCGACAAAATTCTTCACCAATATCGGTGTCCTCTTCCTCTTCGTCCGCTTTGTCCTCGCCCACCCCCGCTCGCAAACGGGCACGGGTTGAAGCCCCATCTTCCTCGCCTGTTCCCCGCTCGGGAACGGTAAGAACTTCGGCCAGTCTCTTGGCCCTCCTCGCGGCCCAACCTGGAAGGTGGGAGCTGGCTCCCAAGGGTGAGGAGTGTGAACGCTGCCGGTGAGCAATTCAATTTTCTCAGAGAAGCGTTACAGATCCTAACTTCCAGTGACGAACAATCTCGTCACTCAAACTTCCCCTGTGTTCGTCCCTGTGGTACCAACCGTGGTACACGATGTGCATCGTGCACATCCGGCGTCTGCTCCTTCCTTCCCCCTTCCCCTGCTAAGCAGAGGAACGTCTCCACAACTTCTCGTTCTTCGCCCGTCGCTCGCCCGCCGCCCGCTGCTCGTCGTTCAGTGTTCGCGACAGAATCTCCTTCATCGTCGGACAAACTTCCCGGTCTTCCTCCTCCTCTCCCTCCCTTGGTCTCCTTCCGCACCGCTTGCCCTGGTGCTCCCCTATGGGAGTTGTCTCCTTCCCCCCCTCCTCATGGTCCTCGTCCTCCTCGCGCTCCTCCCGTCGTCGACCTTCGCTCCTCATCGCTGATCGTTCCCGGGGCTTTTGTTGTACCTGCTCCTCCCTCACCTCCTCGCCCGTCACCCACGCCATCTTCGTCGTCGTTGTCGTCCGAGGAAGTTCCTCCCCCCACACCGGAGGAGATCATTGCGGACCTCAAGGAGCTAGTCGAAGTCCTCACCTTGGACAATTTGAAAACAGAGAAACGGTTAGCAGCTATGACCGTGGTGGCTCTTCGTGCAGCAGACATGATGGACGTACAAGGGGTCATCATTCGTCGTTTCCTTAACCAAATTTGTCTTTTAACCCGGAACTTATCGAAGAAAAGTTCTCATATTGGACCTGCTACTCATAGTTTGCTCCTCCAATGGAACGAACTTCTCCTTCGTACTGGTTGCCACGCTATCTTCGGCCAGAAGTTCTGGGGAGAGATCAATGATACCATCGGGCGAAAGGAGCGGGATCTGACTGGTGTTGCGGTTGCTGGGCCCAGTACTCAAGGGCTGAGGGACGAGGTTCGTGCGGCTAGTGAGACGTTCTGGGATGCTGTAATGATCCTGCTTGTGAGGATCACCACAAATAAATAAATGTAACCTACCCGTAGGGCTGGATACTGAATCGGAACTCTGTGATGTGGGTAATACTAGTCAGTGATGATCAAAGGTCAGCAGATGTAAGTAAAGAGTGTATCAAGGAAACCAAAGAGGGTCTGAGAGAGGACGGAGGAAAAAGGAGGAGAAGAAGGAGGGAGAAGAAGAAGTGAGAAGAAAGAGGATGGGAGAAGAAAGACAATGGAGGCAGAGATCCCCCTCAGACCCGGCTTATATGCATAAATGAGCTGACTTTTGACGTAGGAAAGACGTGACAGAATCTGCGTCTTTGACACGTTATGCGTGAATACTATATACTAGGAGACAGGAGAGACTATAGGTAAAGAAGGCGTAACTGAGGCAAGTGCGTATAAGCACTTGTATAGACTATGATAGGCAGACAAGAGACAGGGGTAGGGGTGTCTGGAAGTGAATCTAGTAGCTCGGTACTGATCAGTATGTAGGGGATGGTTGGATCCACTACACCATGGTACTCAGAAGGTACCAACTCCAGCAGTTCTTCTTGTTCTTCCTCACTAAGTTCGTCTTCCAACGCCGAGTCTCTAGGCCCTAAAGTCTCCCCTTCCTTGAATCCAAAAACTGCTCCTAACTTCTCCTCCTCTCTTTTCTGTGTACCCGGGATCTTTATCACCTCCTTCCTAACATCCAGGATCACTCCCTCCTTCTTCATCCATTCCCATCCTATCACCACCTCTGCGTTGCACAACTTCGTGACATCCAACCGGATCATACGAACTTCGTCCTCAATTGACACACGGATCCCTGTTTCAACGAACTTCGTGATGGGGCCACCGATACTTTCTGAACCATCGAACATACGTACAGGTACTTCCTCTGGGTATCTTATAACTTCCAATCCTAACTCCTCCACTGTTTTTGGGTTTATATATGAACTAGTCGCTCCTGAATCCCATAAGGCGACCACCTGGGCCCCTTTTACGTTGATTTTTGTTTTTGGTTGTCTCGCATTAATGATGGGTATCGTGATGAAATGTCCGTCTTCGTATACACATGGTTCTGCTACTGTCAGCTCTTTCCTGTTAATATCAGAAGGAACAATAGCAGAGAGGACAGAAAAATGGACCCGCCGACGTTCTCTCAATCCGACGGGTCCAGACCTTTTCCCTCATCCACATCCTCTCCTGCTACCGCATTCATCTGCCTCGGTTCCCCCACCACCACTGCATTCCCTCCTGTTCCCCTATTCCTTGAGCTCTTCCACATCTCCGGAGAATTCATCTTTCCTTGAGCTACCTTAGCCGCTACTAAAGGACAATCCTTCACATAGTGTCCTTGGCCCCCACACTCCAAGCACGCTTGTTCGGCCCTCCACTTTTCTCTCTGTTCGAAACTTGGCCTAGGGGCAAGAGGATCCCCTTGTTTCCAAACCTGTGATCCTGTAACTAAGTTACTCCGGCTTGGGGGAGGAAGCGGCACCGAGCCCACAGGATTCTTCGCGGGTGTCGTCGATAACTTCGCCGTTGATTGTACGAAGTTAGGCGTTCTTCCCCAGTTTGTTTTCTGCCCATTAGCCTGTCTCTCCACCCAACGCTCAGTCATCCTATTATCCAATTTGATCACCACTGCCTTCAGTTCTTCCATAGTCCCGATCTCCTCTCTCCGGGAAAGCTCGTCCTTCATAACTTCGTCCAATCCGTTAATAGCCTGAGCCACTAACATCTCCTCCTCACTCCACCCCAATATAGCAATATACTTTTGGAATTCAGCGAAGTACGCTGATGCCTTCCCTTGCTTCTGTCTCAATTCCCTCAACCCCCGGATAGCCGTACCCCTCTCATCTGGGTCACCGAAGTTCTTTTTCATCCACACAGCGAACTCAGAACGTTTTGAGAGGAAAGGAGGAAGAGGAGTAGAAAGTAGATGAGGCTGCACCACCAGCAGTGCAACCCCTCGCAAAAACCCTACCATCCACAAAACACTCTGTTCCTCGCTCTCGAACCTATCTTTCATCACACTCAACGCCAACGAACACTGAGTCAAGAACCCAGTGAGCTTCTCCCTTGACCCATCGAATTCGTCCGGATCCTTCGGTTTCGGCGCTCGAGTTGACGAAGTTGTCGCCAACCCTTCTCTAGCTCCCCGCTGTCCTCGACGAAGTTCCTGCACTATCTCTGTCAGAGCTTCACTCTTCTGGTTGTCAGCAGTCTTCAACTCCTGCAGAGCTCTCATCATTTTGTCACAATCGTCGTTTCTTCTTCTCTACTGACCGACGGTCGACAAACCTCGGCTAACTACGTCGTAGTGGGGCGTCGATGTCTCACTAGGACAGGGTACTCGTCGAGGAGCTACGGCTAACTTCGCCGTAGTGATACGTCGAGTGGTAAATGATAAGATGATCGTCGATGAACTGCGGCTAACTTCGCCGTAGTGCGTCGAACTGCTCGGTGGTAGCTCTCCCTAACTTGACGGTTGTAGCTACTGAATATATCTCTCGCTACTGACAACAATCAAGGATCGCTGAAGAAGTTCAGCAATCTGTAAACTATCTACACTGCTCCTCTCTTCTCATAGAACGTCCCTCAACTCTCGCACTGCCCCACGCTCAGTCCTCTTCGTTCAACTTCGCCATACTTCGCCATATCCCCGATGCCCTACTCCGCTCACTTCGACTAACTTCACCTAACTTCCCCTGTTCTGCTCTCCCTCGGTTCCCTTTCCCTAACTTCGCCGTAGTTCTCCGCTAAGGCGGGGTTATCGTGACAAATACCCTCTTGGTTCTCGTAACTTCGCCGTAGTCGGTCTCAGTGGTTCGGGTGGTAGTTGGTGATGGTGAAAGGAGGGTCGGTGATGGTGGTTGTCAGGGATGCTACGATGTGGTTCGTGACACATTTCCACCAACATCCTGTCATGAATCATGCCATCACGTGTTCCTTGTTGCGCAAAACAAGTTCAACCTCCACTTCCGTGTTTTAATATTTCACCTCTGCTCTCATGCTGTAACGGTACTGGAAACACGACGACTAGGTCGCAGGTTGGGTCGAACTCGATGGATGTCTCGTGGAAATCTAGGGGCTCTGGTGCTAATGGATCGTGTCTCCTCTGCAATCGATGTAGCCAAAGAATGATATTGAAGAATCAGCAAAGTTGGTACTTTGCTGATTGTACTATATACTGTCTACGGCTATCCTTGTCCTCGTCTCCTTCCTGCTGCAAGCGTCTACGTACATACTCGGACAGGTGAAAAACCGCTTTGAGCAAACCCAGTGGGGAAATCTCGAAAGGGGAAAACCCGTCCCTACCTACTGCAGCACTGCCTCCAACTCCCGCTCTTCTCTGTCCTAATCCGTCGAACTCGATAGAGTCCTCTCGATTCGTTGTTACTCCGTAACAAGTTTCCCCCCCTGTCTCAAGGATCCTCGCCGAGGATCCTGAACCCTGTAACCAGGTGATGCACATGGATTGTTCTTAGACACCTTTGGTGCGCCCTGACATCATACCCACGCTAGTGTGACGGTTGCCATGAAAACGCGTCACCCGCACGGACCTCCAATGTGATCGAGAAATTACTGACCAAGTTACCTCCCCGTCTTTTTTCTCTTCTTTCCTCCTCATTCTCTCTTTACCTCTTGTTTGTCACTCTTTTTACTTATCTATCATTATCCATCCATATCTTACTCATATCTTAGAGCATCCTTCCAACTCTGACCTGTCTGTGAGCATGTCTAAGCGTACTGTAAGCAATTCCTTTCGAATTCGATGTATCTCCTCATATTTCTCGCTGGCTGACGAGACTAGTTGTCCTCTTCTACTCCTTCCCGTCAAACTCGAGCCTCTACCTTGGCAACTTTACCCGACGTCGACCCCGAACTTCTCATGCGTCAAACGAAAAGAATGAGAATTACTTCCCAAGCCGCCTCCTCTCAACCCCCATTGGTTGATGCGTCTCGACGAGCTCTCGATACCATTAAGGAGAAGTATCAATCCGGTCCTTCTCGCGAAGCACAATCGTTCCTTGATGACCATGTCATCGAGCAATATTTCGACTTCGAAGGGGGTGCTGGGCCATCTGCCACTGGTGAGAACCTATCTCCCGCCAAATCCGTTGAATCCGAACACCCTACCGTCGTCGAAAATGCAAATTCTCCCGGTAAGCAACTTACTGGTCCTCCTTCTGAGGCTTCCGACGAACTTGTGGAGGTTCCCGACGAGCTTGGTGGCATCTTTCACGCCCCTCGCAAGGTTCCCGTCAACAAGGAACTGGTTAAGTTGCTCGAGGATAGAAAAGACTCCGAAATCGGTGAGAATTCCACCGAGTTCTGTTTGCTTCTGACCTGTTAGCTACCCTTTGGGCCGGCATGACCTTCTCCCCTGTTCGTCTCGCGTTGAAGAACGAAGCTCTGGGCCGTTTCCGCGAAACCAACGCCATCAAGCCCACTGTAAAGTGGTTTAAGAATGCTGTAAGCCTCGAATTCTCTTGAGTTTCATCGATTCTAATCATTAGCTCGATCGTTTGGCCCAAGGTTGGCGCCTCCGCAACAAAAATGGTGCTGTTGTTCGGCTAGAGGGTGAGCTCTGTACCGATTGTCAACGTCGTCTCGATGGTGGTGAAGACTTTCGTGTTGGTTGTATTGGCCCTCGTAAGTTCTTGCTGCGACTCGTTCGATGTTGATGCAATTCAGTCGGTGGTGTGTGTGGTGAATGCTCTGCTAAGGGTACTTCGAAATGTTCGGTGAAGACCAACAATCCTGAGTCCAAATTCCGTGAGGTACCTGTCTATTTCCTTCGAACTTGGTCGATGTTGATGTATAGGGTATCGTTGTGGGAGCAAGAACTGTCACTTCCAAGGTTACCTTTGTACTGGAGCACGAACTTTGTGCGGCTTCGGTCCGTTATCGATCCCTTCCTGCCCATGACCAACCCGCCTGTCTGACCCAACTTTCGGGTTACATCCATCTCTTTACCTCCCTTCTCCTTCCTCTCCCTTCTCAACATCTGGATCTTTACAAATCCCTTCATCTTATTTCCGCCAACTACGCTCCTCCTTCTGCCGATGAAACTCTGGATCATCTTACCTCTACTGGTGATCCTACAGGATTGAGTTCCTCTCAGCCAGTCGCCGGTCCCTCCTCTTCTCCCCGTACTCCTCTTCCTCGCAACGTCATTCGTATTCCCGCTTCGGCCCGTCGTCCCCGAGCCGATTCTAACGCCTCCATTGAGTAGTGTGTTTATATCTCTCTATTTGTAGCTATATTTCCTGTGTATGCATTTATTTCTGACCCAGTTTTGTTGATCTTGATCGAATTCTCACTTTCTTCTGGGGTCCCTCTTCCTCTTTTCCAAAAATTCACCAAAAACGGCCAACTCTTCTACATTTTCTCGTGGTTCCCAGTCATAGGCCGCATTTCCTGTGTATCCTAACCATTTTACCTTGAATTCTTCCTTTCCTCGTCGAATTCTGCTGTCCACGATTGCTTCCACATGGAATTCATCCTGGCCGTTAATTACTACAGGCGGTGGGGGTGGTATCTGTCGACCTGGTATCATATCCTTAGGATATGGTTCCAACAGCGTGACATTGAAGACATTGTGCACTTTCATTGATGGAGGTAGATCTAATTCGAAAGCATTTTTTCCAACTTTCCTTATGATCTTGAAGGGGCCAATGTATTTTGCTTCTAGTTTTCGACTGGGTCGTTCCGTCGTAAGATACTTCGTACTTAGTAGTACCTGTTCTCCCTTTCTGAATTCTTCTGGTATGCTCTTGTGTCTCCTGTTGTAGTACTCTGCACTAATTTCATTCGCCATCCTGACCTGTTCTTGAACAGTCGCATGCAACTCTCCCATATCTCTCCATTTCTTCTCCAACTTGTTTGACTTTGATCGAATATCATGCGAATGGATGTCGTAGTGTGGCACATAGCCGTAACAGGCTTCAAAAGGACACAGACCGTGGCTACTATGTGGCGAACAGTTATAAGCGAACTCAGCAATTGGTAGAAGTTGATCCCAATTGTCCATGTTGTAGTTTACATACATTCCGAGCAGGATTTCCATCTGTTGATTTACTCGCTCAGTTTGTCCATCTGTTTGAGGGTGATACGCAGTCGAGTATAAGTTCTTTATTCCCAGGAACTGACATATTTCCTTCCAAATTTCCGCTGTAAACTGAGTTCCCCTATCTGATACGATTGTTCGAGGTACTCCATGTTTTGAAAAGATCTCCTTGATGTAGATGTCGGCCACTTTGTTCGCTGTTAGTCCAGTTGTACATGGAATAA